ATTATAATATAGCAGCGCCAACCGAGTCGAGCCGAACGGAACACGCCGCCGTCTCCTTCAGCTACATACATTATCTAAGTTGACAAATTCTGTCTTGACTTTGAAACTCTGTTATTATTAATACATGAAATGTATGAAAGTCAGTAGCCACATTGAGCAACACTCGTTCATCGAGTGAATAATTACATCTGTAAAGTAGTCAGACAGGACTTGAGTGTGAATGGAATATGGAGAGTTCTTAATTTTTTTCTACAGAAAAAGGTTCAAGGGAACGTCAGCCATGTTAATGGGATATCAATCGATCATATTTTATTTGACATCCTCTGTTCTCAACAAGGAAAAACCCTTCTAAAAAGGGAAAAAGAACATAGAAACCTCACAGAGAGGATCCGCCTCCCACGATGGACAGAAGTGCAGTAGATGCCACGTGAGAGAAGAGAGATATAGAGAACGTCAGAAAAATAAGAGTGATAGAAGGTAAATGAAGCGAGGAGTTATTGTCCGTGTATCGAGCCGTCTTGTTGTAGTCATAGTCCACGATCAGCTGCCACCTCGATCAGGATCCACGATCAGCTGCCACCTCGATCAGGATCCACGATGTGGCCGCTGCCCTGGATCTGTGATCGTTAAGGCTCAGGGACTCTGGGGAAGAAGTCAAGTCAGTAACATGTATTGATGAGACATTCATTTATTTGATGTGATAAGGAGGGAGAAGAGGAAAGAGATCAATAGAATGCTGCACTGAGGTCTAACAGGACAGGGACAGACACAAACCCTTAATCTGAAGCTATCAGAAGGTCATTAGTGACTTTTACCAAGGCTGTGTCTGTGGTGAGCTGATGAGATCGTTAGGATTCTCAGCTGTTTGTGAGATCTCTGTGCTTGATGGTGTATTAGTCTCAACTGAGGGCAGGAGACTGTGGATTTTATTTCTAATAGTTACGATTTTATTGTTAAAGAAATTCATCAAGATATTGTTAAATGGGGGAAGGAGGAATACTGGGTTGGATGGAGGTGTAGTCACAGCTACATCTCTGTCAGCTGCAGAGCCGAAGAGAAACCTGGGGTTGTTTTTATTTCCCCTCCATTAATGTAGAGTAGTAAGCAGCTCTTGCTTATAAACTCTAACACTATCTCTCCAGACTGGATGGTTTTCAACACAGTTGCTGGAGCGCCACTTCCTTTCTAGTTTTCTTGACGCTTGTTTTAATCCATGTGTGTTGGAATTGTACCAGGGAGCTACTTTACTTTGGTGTACCTCCGTGAGGTGCTATGGAGTCTAATGTTAATCGGAATGAGTTAACAGAGCTTTCGACAAGATGGTTAAATCCTGCTACTCTACAAAACATTTCTCAAAGTTAATTTTTTTTGTTATGATTTGGTTCTCAAATTGGACTGAACAGAATATCTTTTGTGACAATCACATTTCTTGTGTGAAGTTCTTTGTAACCTCGTTTAGATAAGTGCTTGACAAATAAAGTTATTATAATTATTATTATTACCTCATCTCTACCATTTGAAGAATGCTCTGGATCTTTTGGACATGTTGCTTTTCATAGAGGTGGCGATGCTTCGCTCGACTTCTGGTTCCTTCTTGCAAATGGCAACAAGCAGCATTTCTGGACAGCTCCACTTCTTACAGAGGTCCTTGAAAACAGGCTTCTGGAGGTTGACGATTATTTCTGGGGAGATCTCAAAGTCAGCGTCAAAGTCCTGAACCTCGGCCCATGTTTTTTCAAACAGGTTTTGAGTGACGTCTCTCGGGTCATAACAGGACTGGTCCACTTTAGCCTTTGCATACACTCGTGTGACGAGCAGGTTGATGAAGAGATTGATGTACTTTTTCTTGCGGGACTCTTCAAGATATTTTGCGCTGTCGTTCTCTGAGACTGGAGATTCTGTGATTGATTCAGTCTCCGTTACAACAGATGTCACCTTGTTGGTGTTGTCACCGGCCTGTATTAAGAACCACCAGCCTATCAATAGCAGGTAGCTGAACACTTTCTCCTGTATTTCCATGTACATCTTTTTATGGGCCTCAGGAACGACATCTGTCATCACTGCACCTGGACTCATCTTTAAATTGCCATTTGTGACAAAGTTGTAGAGGACAACACTGAGTTCTTCTTTGAGGGCTTTGACACTTTCAGGTGAATTTGTGGGCTCCATCTCTGTCAGAACAAGAGCCTCGACACTATCCATCACAGGCTTAATTGACTCTCTCCTTTCGACGTTGGTCTCCTCCATGACGTCCTTCCTGACTTGTGCCCCCATCTTGATCATCGATACTGTGGCAAAAACCTTTGACATGACTTCCTTGATCTTCTTCCCCACTCCTTTCCAAAAGCTGTCGCTCTTTAAGGATTTGGAGCTTCTACTCGACTCAGATGTTTTTACGCTGTTCTCTTCACTAACTATCTCAGAGATTTCGTCTGAAATAGATTTAGACTCCGGAGAAAAAGATTCAGACAACAGCTCAGTCAAGACAGATTCGAACACTTCATCCACAAGTGGCACCGTGATCTCGCTCACATCCTTGCTGCTGACTCTTGATACTGAGGATATTGATCTGTCAGTGCAAGAACTGTCTAAAGTGGATGTTTCCCACTGAGGGAGTTCGTCTATAATATCAAATGTCTTTTGACTGCAAAGTTTTGGCTTGAACAACTCCTCGATGTTGGGAGCAGATATCAACACTTTGCAAACACAACAGATCATTTCTTCAAGTTTGTTGGGTGCAGTCATGTGACTCTGTGTTGGTCCGGTGGAGCCTGCACTGGTGGAGCACTCAGACAGGTGGGAATTGACCCTCTCTGTTATCTCCTCTGCAACCAAATCTGTGAGTTGATCCAAACTCACAGACTTTTCTAAGCTGCCTGGTGCTAAACCTTGACGGAGTGCGTCTCCCAGACTGGCCTGGACACTCTCTGGAGTCAAGGGCAAGTGGCTGTGTCCATGTTCCTTAACCAGGTCCATGGACACAGACGATGTCAGGTTCAGAAGAAGTTCTGCCAGCAGAAACTTTGTGTCACTGTCTGGTGTTTCCGACTTTAGCAGGTTCCACTGCTCAGCAGTCAACTTGCTGAAAAAGTTCTCAGTCTGAAAGCGAAAAGTTTCAACTGTTATGTCTATTAGCTCCAATCTGTCAGATCTATCCATGATGAAGTCAGGGTATCTCAATGTCCTCAATATCGTGAATCACTTCCCGTTCAGGAAAAACTCTTCCTCTTCCACTTTGGTTATTCCTAAATACCTTTCTACTAATTACCAACGTGGTATGATCCTCATTAATCATAGAAGATGAAAGGCATCTTCTCCTCCTATTTGTTCTAACAACTATGACTCATAGAAACATCAGAGACATGAACCAAAGGAAATTTAGATCAAAGCCATTTAGACTGTGACAGAAAAATAAGACCCGCCCCCGGACCGTGACTGACATAGCAACCGTTGCTGTAACTGATTGTTACTGTAGTGATGTTTTCAGAAATGAATTGCGGTGGTTTTTCCTCCTGCTGCGTTGTTCATGTGTGAAAGACAATTGCCGGAGAAAGTCCAGTGCCAATTCTTCCTCTTCCACATGGTTTGGTTTATTCCCGGGCAGCAACCAACGTCAAAGTACTTTACAGCCATCTACTGTGTTTATGCACCGTTCATCAACTGTGTTGATTTCTCTCTCAAGCTGTAGCTCTACTTCTTCTTCTCTTCTTCATTTGGTCTTTTAGCGGGTGGCGAGCAATGTCAAGGTGCATTACCACCATCCACTGAGTTTGTTGTGTAACACACCTTGACCTTCATCACGCCCGCCAATAAACCGAACAAAGAAGAAGGTTCTTGGCTCAGTCTCTTAAATTTAAGGTAGCACACCCATGAGAAATAAAATTTATAAGTTGAGTTGTTTCTGTTGTGTTTTCTTGCTGTATTTTTCTTACAACACAAAAAAAAGTGATGGCAGGCGACCACCGATCAGGAAGTCCGACATATGTGAGTGTTGTGATGGATGCATGTTGGACAGAACCAATGAGCAGAGGAGCTGCTGTTAAAACAAAACCAGACCAAACAGTAAACACATTTCTTCATGACTGTGTCCTGAGAGAGGCAGAAAGCTCTGTGGATGGAAAGCTACTGTTTGTCCAGTGTGTGTAGTTGGTGGGCGTGTCGGCCTCACTCTTTGTTTTTGTGGTTGTTGTGTATGTGAAAGTTCAGTGTTCAGACTCCGTCAAACCAGAACCGACTGTTGAAACGTCTGAAATTGAGGTTCAGGAATTTAAAGGAAATAGCTACGGCCACTGGGCAGAGGGTGTGCTTGCTATTCACACTCTCACACACACACACACAAAGGAATCTTTAGGGAAGTCATTCTGCTATCTTCTACTCTGACATGATGCATGTGCCATGAGAATGAGGATAAATAACTATTAATCCACTGAAACATACTTATTAATGAATTGTAAAAGTTTTCATAAGCTATGGAACACTTCCCTTAGCTGATCAGTTTAAAGTTATTTTAGCCTGATTTTTACAAAGTTAGATTTCTTTCTGGCAAGAAAGAAATCTAACTTTTTTGCTTGGGGCTTCAGTTCCCTTCCACAGTCCAAACTCACTACTGCATTAACCCTGTGTTATACTGCTGACCATGCATAAGATGTAAAGATCATAAATCATTTACCACAGGTGTAGGTGACTTACAGAAGCTCGATAACCCAAAAAAAAAGAAAAATCAGTCATTATTTCCTCGTCATTATGCCGATGGAGGGGTGGCTGGAGTGTTTGAGTCAACCTCATGACAGTCTCATTTCTGAGGATGAGGTTTTGGTCCAGCTGTCCACAATGAATGAATGAATCAATGCAAAGTCCTCATAACGACAGCTGCACAAAGCTGTGAGTGTTTGAGACACTGGTTGCATGACAGCGGATAAATTGTGTAGACTGCACTGGCATCAGCCATGCAATCAAAAGAATCACACACACACACACACACACACACACACACACACACACACACACACACACACACACACCAACCACACACAGGTTTGTTGCAAGGCGTGACACACAAAGTCAGACCCTCTCCTCCATCCTTCAGCTTTGAAGTCACTGCTCTGAATCTCTGTGGTTGTTACGGTCTGGTTGTCACCAAAAGTTTCAAACACCTGGCAGAGAACACACACACACACACACACACACACACACACACACATTTCTCTCCAACACACATCACACTGCCCAAACATGGTGGCGGTCTAAGACCCTTAAAGTACCTGCACGGTGGGATGATACTGAAACAGCGGGTGAGGCCCACCTCTCTCATGTCCACAGGTGCGTTCTGGAAAGAGCACACAGACGGATGCACAAAGAAAAGTTTAACAACACTGACTCTTGTTTCAGAGGAAAATGCACCTGTAGAGAAAAGACGAGAGCAGAAAATGCAGTTGTTGTTGTCGTTTCATGCGAAGACTCGTTTGAAGAAATGTTGAAGAGAAGAAGCAGCAACATTTGAGTGAAGATGAAATGGAGGATTAACTATCACCATCCAGAGAAGAAGCCACAACATCTCAGATACAAATCCTGTTGATGATGTCATCCGTAGCTTGTCCCACCGATAAACCTGCTCGACCAATCACAAATCAGTGTCGGCTGTCAATCACGACCTCTCACCCCATTTTTATATCATCAAATAACTCAAACGTGTCTGTCTCTCCTCTGTCTGTGTTTCTTTCTGTCCTCCACATCAGGCTGAAGGAGATCGACATGAGTGAATACGACGCGGCCACGTACAAGCGCTTCTCCACCGCGGTCATGAGGCAGGTTCAGTCTCTGCGGATCATCCTGGACAGTTTGCAGGTCAGATTCTCTTTACACTTTGTTTTACACGTGGTTCTTTTTCTAATTAACGCCTTCTCCTCGCCACTGTAGGGCAACGTAGACGTTCACCTGATCACTTGGGTGCAATACCAGATATTATCTCTAGTCTAATATTCCAGTGTGATAATAATCAGCTGATGGTTGTTGATCATAAACGCCTGACGCCTGCATCGCTGGGAGTCGACCATGTCGCACGAAATATATCAAATACATATACACTCAGTGTGTCACACTTTCAAGCATGAATAAATCAAACTGCCCTTTTAGATGAATCAGCTTTTCTTGTACAGACAGGAAGAAGTCTGGTCGTCCATCAGTAAGCAAAAGTTGTGGGGTCGTAAAGTAGTAAGCAGACAATTGGCTGACCTGACACAGCCCCGCACGTGATGTCGGGGCAGGAAGGCGGAGGGGGGGGGGGGGCGCTAACCCCCGCATGAGCAATGTGATTGGCTGAATGAGTGAAAAGATAGACAGAAGGGAGTGGTGGTTAAAATCCAGGATGTGATATTGTCTCCATTTCAATATTTTGAGTTTGACTTTCCTCCTTTTGTTTGAGCATCTAAGGAGAACAGTCCATTCGAGTGAGGCTCAGTGCGTGTGTGTGTGTGTGTGTGTGTGCGCGCGTGTGTGCATGTGCGTGTGTGTGTGTAAGATTGTGTTTGTGTGTGAAGAGAGGAAAATCATGCAGCATGCAGACATGATTACAGAGCGACGACACTAAGCTCCGCTCTATTATTCTCCTGTCCAGGTGTGAAGCTCTGTTTGTATACGCTGTAGTGGGTGGGTGTTTGTGTGTCTTTGTGTAGATGTGTGTGTGTGTTTTTTCCATCCAGGTGTTTACAGCCCTCCACCTCTGACTTTGAACGTGAACATCGGTTATTGTTTGTATTGGTGCTCGTGGCCTCAGGGCTTTTTCCCACTGTAAAGACGATGGAGATTATACCAATCCCTGCAGGCGTGACATTGTGAAGTCATGTTATTTTTATCATACCTGAAGAGTGATTTAAGACACACACACAGACACACACACACACACACTCTGGCAAGCGTTCAGTAAGCTGATAACATATTGTTCCTACCATCTTCCCTTTGGGAAACCCCTCTCTATTTGTCTCTCAACAATGGCCTGGCATGCCAGATATAAACACCCGGCCCCGTATTTAACAAGCATCATTCTCTGAGGAGGACAACAGCCCAAACACTGGACGAAAAAATCCCAGAAAGCATTGCATGTTCGCTTCCACTCTGTTCAACTTTGTGAACCTGGAAAAATCTTCTTCTGTATTTCGATCTATGAGGTGACGGTCGTGTAGAATTGTCTCGATGGAGGAGATGTTTAACGACTGTCACAAATATAGGTTTCAATCGTGATTCAAAGTGCCATTGCCCAGTTAATTGATTTTCTTACTGCTGCAGCAGTATCATGCAGTTTGTTATAGTCATGGGTCAAAACTCTCACATTGTAACTTCATAGATTCAAGGTCTTAAGAAGTGTTAAACCGTTTTAAAATCTGATCGATGGGTCTTTATTTTTTAGGCAGGTCATCACCAAAGGTCTTCGCAAAAACTCATCATACAACTTATTTTTCTCGTGTTTTTCTTCTCCTCTTCTACAACGTGTACTTTTCTAAACACTCTGTGTGTGATGATGATATTCTTCCTCTCTGAAGGAAGAATATCATCATCGTGTGTGTGTGTGT